AAAATGTATGCAAGTATAATACAGTAAGGCATTTTTACCTTTGTATTCCATTACATCCCAACACAGTCTGGAACAAATATCCAACAAAACACACACCATCTCTGGCACTATAATTGACACCAGTTTCAATGCATCCCCAATTGGTGCTGATAATACTGTAGGGTCCTGCTTTCTCTCAGCCAAGGGCAAAAAACTAGAATCCAATCAGAAAAAAAAGGGTCTCCCAAACTGAAAGTAGCTGTTTTTCCAGATGGATATTGACACAGAGAAAGCCGGGAGCTGTGATTAGTGGGGCTGAAATGAAAGTGTGTGCATGCCAGCGTACTGACAGCAGCTTTGGAACCAGGGAGCAGGAGATTACAAACTCATTTCTCTGCAAGACTCACTCCCTAAAACTGCCCCCAGAAACTGAGGAGGACGGGGCAACTGGAGTCCAAGCTGTGTCCTGTGGAAAAGCCACTGGAAATGAAGGTATAGCAGCAAATATGGGGGATGGGAAGCTATTCTGTTTTAATATAAATGAGGTGTTTTGATGGTTTGTGGGTCACTAGGGCAGAAGTCGAACCCAAGCCAAATACACATAAATCAGGTTAAAACTCGGGATAAAAACTGTTTTGAGATGAATGGATGGGTTCATTACATAGTTTTGTTTAAAGTTTAAATTCAAGTAAGCATATAGAGGGAGATATAGAAGTAAATAAGCCACAGTACAGGAAGGTATAGCACCAAATATGGAAGATGGATGGATTCATGGAGATTACTCAAAAACGTATTTATCGCTATGAATGCAACTTTAACTGGACAAAAACATGCATTTTACAGCTGATTTAGAGCTGTGTGTGTGCGCTGAAAACAACAGAAATTAAACATAAAGTGTAGAAATATATACCTAAACATCAACACAATGCTTGTATATATATGGTGTATATTAGGTGTGCTTTTTCTACTGGCAAATCAAAATATAATAAAGAAGTCATTTGAACTCATTCATCCATTACAACAGCCTATTTCTACAACCACTAAACGATTATGTCCCAAATGAATAGTTTTTGGCAAGGCGTAATTCCAAATATTGTACATTTTATTATTGCCTCTGATCCTGCCTCAAAGCATTTTTATGAACTTTTCACAATAAAAAATGTCTTCTTTTGAGGGATTATCACCAAACACACGTCCAATAAACACATAGAGCAGATGCCAAGTTCCCCGGCCTCACACACATCCAGGCAGATCCACACACATTTATACACACACACGTACGACAAACACACACACACACACACACACACACATCCACAACACACACATACATGTACGACACACACAACTTTCTTTCCTTTCATTTATCAAATTGAATCATATTTAGGCATTCATAGTTGTTGTAAAAACGTAAAATCCAGAGATTTTATTATCAGCTCTTGTTAGATCTAATCCTGCAGCTGCTGCCTCAAAGAAAGGATTTTATGAACCATTAAAAAACATCTTTTGAAAGATTATCACCAAACACATGTCCAATAAACACAAGGACCAGATTCCAAAGTCACTCATTACAAGTTCCTTCAAGTTTACTTCAGAGGTTCATACATTTACCTCATCAAAAATATTAAATAGAGCTACATTTCTGAACTGGGGCGACAGTGGCTCAGTTGGTAGAGCATTGGCCTTAGAGCCTGAAGGTTGTGGGTTCGAGCCCACCATAAGACCTACTTCACGACCCCCACTGATGACTGCTGTCGTTGTGTCCTTGGGCAAGACACTTAACCCCACTTTGCCTGAAGCCCCCACTGAAAGATCTCAGCTCCTGTGGACTCACCACCTGCAGGAGGATCAGTGAGGGGCTGGTGCTTTGTGTACTAGGTGTAGCTCTGACTGTCACCCCCCCCCCCCCCCCCCCCCCCCGACCCAGAAATGGATTAAGGGGAAGAAAATGGATGGATGGACATTTCTGAACTATGCCACGATGAGTTTTTCTACAACGTTATAATTATGTTATGTCAAAGTTGTATTGATTCTTCCAATAAACACATCCCAAAGATCGCCTCAGAACGGCTCAATGATGTTGTGATTGGAAAATAGACAATAAACAAAAAGACGATTGGTTAGAATTGTTACAATTATTCTGATGTTTGTGCCACAATTCAATATTATTGCAATTCTTAAAATATCGCGATACATCCGAGTATTACGATACAATTCTGTGATATATTGCAATTCCGTCATATTATTCAAAAGCTTTACACTCATTGAGGAAAATAAAACTCAACTCACATTTACTGTGGTCATTCATTATGGTCTGCAAAAATGTACAAAACAAGATCATTAACACAACGTGAAAGATATAGCTTTGTGTAATAATTCCCTAGACTTAAACCTTACCCAAACCAAAAACATGGCCAAAACAACACCTTCTTCAGCCTGGGTGTGTTCCCCTTACTCTCTCCTGCAGCTAAAGCCGAGGTCCAGGTCCCAAACATGTTGTGGATCGCAGAGTGGTGTGACTGCTGCACAAAGACCGTCTGTCAGAGCAGCAGCAGATGCCACAGAGACGTGCCACCTGAGCATGTGCAGCTGCCACCCAGAGACCAGCCTGGGACCTGCCTGGGACCTGCCTGGAACCGGTCTACAGAGGTCTCAAACCAGGACATGGTGAGACTTTGAGTGATAGGACTGGAGCCTTGTAAGGACAGCAAAAACAACTGCAAAAGTACATTATATTAACACTACACTGCAAAAAGTGATGGAAAATAAGTCAAAAATTGCAAACATTTGGCGAAATTTGAGCACATTCTGACAAGATTTTCCAATGGGACAAAGCAGAATGATCTTGTTTCAAAAATATACAAGAAATGTCTCATAGTTTTTTTATGCTTCCAAAAACTAAAAAGCAAACATATTGACTGTTTTGGGTTTTATTAGGGTTAGAGTTCTAGTGTCAATACGTTGTTGTTGTTGGGTGGGTGAGGGATCTGTTGTCCACGGCAACGGTGGAATACTGAACAACAGACTGTGGAAACCGCCTCATGTAAAAGCTGCAATGACTTACACATTGTGTCTGTGAGTTTTTGGACCAGAAACACAAGACATTCCTGGTCCTATTGAAACGCGTTGCATCATGATGAGAGAGAGGGAGGGAGGGGAGAGTGGGTGGGGGGCGTTGTAGGTAAGGGTCTGCAGAGACTTGGCCTGGATGCATGTGGAGTTTTAATCTATAATGAATGAATGAATGGCCTGACATACATATACAGGATGTAATTACCTAGTTACAACAAGGCAAGCCATCTGGGTGCAGAGAAAACAGAAAATTAGCATGTGTTTTATGGACAGAAGCAGATGTTTTGCCTTTTACCTGTCGTTCAAAGTACCACAATGCAACAGGAGACGGCAGTGGTCAACAATATTACTTTACTTTATGTGGTTATACGCATTATCTTTAACTTGTCTTTCAAAAAAACTACAAAAAGCATTTTAAGTCAAGACAAAATGAACCTTTTTGAATCACTATAACTTCGCACGGACGCACATTTAAAGCTGGGGTTCCTAACTTTCATCTTGCCTACGCTATCCAAACAGAAAGACGTGAAATGTGGTGAACAAATCAGACCACATTTGTTCAGCCGCCTTCATGTTGTCAGAAAACATGTGATATTTAGCATACGTGTAAGAAATTATTGGCTGAGTGAGGGTGGTCCTCTTTTTTTCACTTTTCTGTCTGAAAAAAAGCAGAGAAAGAGAGAAAGGATACATGCATGTGAAAACTAGTGATAGAAGAAGACTGTTTTAGAGCCAGGAACTAGTTACACACTGTAAAAATGTATAAAAAGGAGGAAATAATTGCCCAAATCAAGTGGCTTTTATCTAAATCTGACACACTCTGACTCTGTTAAAACAAGATTGGACAAAGCCATTTAGTTTTATTTCAAGAACTGTTGCATTGTTTTCTCATTCCAAGGGAGACATTTCTTGTATCTTTTTAAACATAATCATTTTTCTTGTCCCATTGGCAAATCTGGTTCTAAGGCAGTCAGAGTATGCTCAAAGCAAGCAGCATTTTGCCAAATTTCAGCAATTTTTGACATATTTTCCATCACTTTTTCATGCATTTGATAGCATAATAATGTACTTGTTTTTATAAATAATATATATATATATATATATATATATATATATATATATAATATAAATATATATATATATATATATAGTTAGAAAGTTAGGTCTCTCAGAATCTTGCCATTGAGGTGATGGTCCTTTCAAAACCAAATATTATTTTCAATTTTCAATTTTCAATGTTTCAATTTTTTGTGACCCAGGACATGTTGGAGGAACTGAGTCTTTCAGCTGGCCTCGGGATTTCCTCAGGATTCCCCTAGATGAGCTGCTTAGACTGCTACCCCCACAACACGGCAATAGATAAAGCGGAAGAAAGTGAATTAATTAATACATGTGTTTTGAAAGTTAAGTACCCGAACTTAAAAAAATACCATAAACCAGTCTCAAAAGTCCCAGTACTGCAATTTCAAAATGCAGTATCATACATACAGATTACATTATACATTTGTACGTATTGCTCTGACTATATAAAACTACTTATCTCTGTACACTGCAAAAAATATATAAAATATGAGGTAATATGTCCTTTTTTCATAAAATTAGGTCTTTAGCATTTGCCTTTCAACAAACTCTTTTTTGCACTTAGTAAACTTGTGTAAAGACCTTATAAACTACTTACTTTTAATCAAAATGGAGAAAACATTTTGGGGCAATTTCTCATAACTCTATTGATTTGCATGGGAGCAGTCAAAACGACGGCTTCGGGAGTTCTAGCAGTTTCTTAATTGTGGGAGTCAATCTGGTTTCCGTGCAGAGAAAATACTATTGTGCTTGTTTATTCCTCATGACAAAGTTTAAAGTTACTGGTACTTTTACAGTCTGCATAGTCACTGAGGCGCGCGTGTGTCCGTGATGACGCCTGCTGACGCCTGCTGACGTCTGGCACTCACCGCGGCTGAAAGTGAAGAGAACGGGCTCGCTCCTCATGGTGGCTCAGACGCATCCACTCCTTCGGGTCGCGGACGCTCGCCCCTACGGCTTGTCCGGTTCCTTCTGCTCTCCACAAATCCACGCAACCAAAAAAACTTCCAGACGCGCAAACCTCCTCCAACAACTTTGTCCCGTGCGTCCGCTGCGCGTCCCCGGCGACTGGAAAAGGCTGTGTTCGTCTTGCAGAGGTTTTCAGCGCTGTTTCTCCTCCTCCTGCAGGGTCCTCCCCCCATGGTCCTGGTCCTGGTCCTCCCTCCCCCCCCCCTCTCTCTTTCTCTCTCTCTCTCTCTGTGTGTCTGTGTGAGCTCTGTACTAGAGAGAGCAAGGACTACTTCTGCCATGTTGTGTTTACATAAAGAATTACTATTGGTCCTCTTAATTGTCAATCATTCTGGTGATACTGCTCATCAAATAAGACCAGAAAGTTTTTTCAAAAAGTGTACATGTAGGCTTTCCTAGCCTGGTCGTACCACACAATAGTACAAATTTCATTTCGCACTAAGGTCGGGGTTTGCTCCATTGAGCTCTATTAACAGGTGGGAGGGTTAACTCCTTTTGCAGATTGAAACGATTGAAACCTGTGAGTCGTTAGCATTTAGCCTTTAGTTTAGCATCTCCTTTGCCACTAACGGAGCCCATGTTGGAGTAGCGCCACAATCTTTCCAGCAATGTCATTTGTTAAACATTCCTCTTGCTCCGACTTCAATTTCCTTATATTTCGAGCCGAACCAGAACAGATAATTTACTATTGCTTTCTCCGCCAAACTACAACCAGCCAATTCGGCGCAAACTCTTGACATCACCGGCATCTGCCTACAAGACCCGCCTCCCGCGCTCTCTGATTAGTCGGAGGGGATTCAACCGATGTAACTGCAGACACTGGGAGCAGACCCAGACGAACATGCAGGAAATGATGATTGACCAGAGTTTATGGTTGGCTAAGACCAGGCTAGTTCTTTCCTAGAAAATTGGGAAAATCCTCCAATATACCTTTTAAATTGTGTTTTGTTTTATACTTTGCCACCAAAAGATCAGCAGGAGAGAACAGATCTTCACCAATAGTCGCTGCCTAGAAGTGATTTTTCTTTCTGGTAGAAGACGGCTGAGGCTGAAGCAGAAGCAGGATCTTCGTCTGAGACAATAGAACAATTTGCAGGTGGAAAAAACTCCCATTATTTAGAGTTTGTTGGGAGCATATCAAGTGTGCTTTATGTGCCAAACCAAAAGCTCTATCAACCTCTCGCTATAGCATCATAAGCTACATATAGCTTGTATACAGTATATATTTTGGGAAAGTAACTTGAAAGTAATGCAGTAGGAGAGTAATGCTAATATTGTATTGTAACACATTACTTAATACATGCAAGTACATAACACATACGTACGTTTTTTAAGTAACTTGCCCAACATTGCCGCTGATAGTACATATGTCTATGTTGCTAAGACTGTTTCTAAGACAAGCTGGAATCTCCCTCGCGTACGTAAAAGAGAGAGAAGTTTACTTTTCAATGTTAAGTCGGAGCCAGAGCAACTTGCACCAAAACTTAGTCCACAAACACTATCGGGCTACATTGAGCTAGCAAGTTAGCACTGTCCATTCATACACAATCTATGGTTTCAAACTGTTTTAACGTGTTTGTACTGCTTTAGAATCCACATCTATCCTTTCCCTTTGTCTAAAAGTGGATTCTCCTTGCAGCTTGAAACAAAGAAGACCAAACAAAAGCTCCAGGTACAGGCCCCTGCAGTTTAAATCCCTGTGTAGCTCTGTGGCAGATGGAGAACTAGACTTGACTGAGACTGGTCCATGCCCCCTGGGACTCCGCCAGGCCTGGAGTCAGTGTGGCTTATATGGTAATGAGGACCATAAGAGCAGTCCGGCGCTGGCTAAATGCGTATTGTATTTTAGATTAAACCAGTGATTTTGTGTGTTCATTTGCAGTCATTTCTGTTATCCATATTGAAATGTTGTGTTCAAAACAATTGTAGTTTTATGCATCATTTAGGAAACAGCAGTTTAAATTAGCCATGTTATAGCGCTAATGTCTTTGTAAATGTACACTTGACCACGTGAGAAAATATATGTCACCTTTGTCATAACAACTTTATTTGTATAGCACATTTACACCAACACCAGCTGCCCAAAGTGCTTCACAGGCACGAAAGATAAAAAAATAAGAAGAAAACAGCATAAAATACATTCACGACATGTAAAAGTAAAATGGTAAATCTCAATTGGGGTTAAAGCCAAGGCGTAAAATTATGTCTTTAGACTAGACTTAAAAACTTCCAATGAAGGATCTACTATTGCACAGTTTGGAAAAGGAACAGAAAAGGCTCGGTGTCCACGAGTTTTGAGACAAGACAAAAGCTGGTTTTCGGACCTCACTGATCTGACAGGAGCAGACAGAGACAACAGGTTCGACCAAAACATCAGAATCTTAAAATCAACCCTGAAAGTAACAGGGAGCCAGTGAAGTGAGGCCAGCACGAGGGTGATGTGCTCTCTCTTACGTGTCCCTGTGAGCTAGCGAGCAGCAGCATTCTGCACCTGCTGAAGGCGCTTAAATGAGCTAATTGATATAAATTACAACATCTACAGGTATTTGGTTAAAATTAATATGTTTTGATCCCCTTTAATTCCAGTCTTTGTCTGTCAGGAGGTTGGCTTCAGGCAGAGTGGGGTTAAGTGTCCTGTCCAGCTAATTTTAACATAAAAAATGACCAAAAAATGAGTCAAACATTGATGGAATTACTAGTTACAGTTAACTTGTTTTAAGACAAAAGATAAAATCATCATTTGTGACGAGGCAAAATGTTGGATTGTTGAAGAGACAAGCAAATTCTGTCTCAAAATAGACTTTGGGAAACGACTTGATTTGAGAAGTTCCTGCCTGATATTTTCATATTTTAGCACTTTTTGCAGAGAACATGGGCTGAGGACCAGATTCAAACATTTAGAGGACCAGACGTGGCTCTCGGGCCGCAAGTTGAATAGGTCTGGTTTATAGCATTGCTCTCCTCTGGTCGGACTCAAGATAGAAAGTGTCAAGATTCCATTCTCAAACATATAATTTTAACTGCAGCTCATCTTGCAAACCACAATTCAAAGTTTTTATGTCTTTTGTTAGACCAATACCCCAAGTTTTTCTGACCACAATTTTTTCAGTTTTCATACATTTCCAACCAACACTGTGCAGCAAACAGAAGGACAGGAGGCTAGAAAATCACTTTGCAAGCATGCATTACCGCACTGTAAGCTAACCAAGTCCCTTTCATAACGTGCCCTACATTGAAAAACAAAGGGAGGTTACGAACAGTTGAGAAATCCGATGGGAGTATTCGTGCTTGAGTTTCTTATCTGAGAGACTCATTGTGATGAAAGGGGAGTGTGGGGCAAAGCTGACGGCCGAACAGACAGGACATGTTGGAAAAATAGAGTGTCGTAAGCCTGAACCATATTTTTAATCTAAAACAGCGGTGTAAGTATGTGTAACAAAAGGCAGAGCTCTGTGGTAGATTGATGCCGGTTTGGCTCGGGACTTATTGACTCAACAGTGACATCAGCGTTTTGGCTCCGGAAATGACTGAGGCTAAATCTAATAGAGATTGAGATATAATAATAATAATAGTAATAGAAAGAGCATTTCCATTCCCTCATTAGCCGTCAAACTGTCAAATTATTGTGATATATTCAGATGCCCCAGTGACCGTAAGATCCAGGTCAGGTGCGACGCTAAGACCAGACACACGTCGTAAATCAGGAAGAAAAATCTGCAGATTTGACAGTTTTGCGTTCATTATAAACAGTACAGAGTTGTTGATTCATCTTGTATTGTAGCCATGTAACCATGGAGTAAAGTAAGGAAGCCGATCTCTGACATACACTCACAAGAGTAATGCTAGGAAAGTAAAGAGTCAAGTCGGAGTCAAGAAAAGTCAAAATATTATGAGAATAAATTTAAAACAATGGGAAATCAAAGTTGAAGTCACAAAAGGTCTCAGTAATACGACTTCCATCCATCAATTTTCTTCCTCTTAATCCTTTTCTTGGTCGTTGGGACTTTTTTATAATTTATGGACAAGATTTACTCTATTCTCTACCTCTCTTCTTTGACTTGTTTGCACCGAGAGCCAAAGCAGTTTCCTCGTCAGTGACTTCCTGTTACTCACATGGCAATAAACATGATTCTAATTATGATTAATCTGGCAAAATTATGAGACTAAACTCAGATACAAATGATGAGAATAAACTTTGACTTGTATTCTTTATAATATTTTGACAATTCCTCTTGTGGAAAACAGGATTTCTATCTTTGTGAAAAAGGTGATTATAGATTTGTTGTTGACAAAACTCTTGTCTATTCAGCTGTTATGGTCCCAGCTGGATTTGTCTGCATATCTGGCAACCTGAGTCAGGGAGAGTGGGAGAGGCCAGATTTTTGCAAACTGCTCCTTTTACTTTGTAGCTTCTGCTACAACAATAATATTTGTATGAAAATCCTCTTCAAAGTACAGGACGATTGACATTATATCACAGTGATAATTGATTCTTGTAATTTTTAGCATTTATTTTGGTATGTGGCACACTTGGGGACATTTGCACATGCACTCCAATGTGGTTTTACTGCAAATAAAGTTAATCTGAATCTGAATCCAGGCCTGATGTCACTGAGAACCATGTGATTGTCACTACACTGCAAAAAGTGATGAAAAATACAATAACAATTTCTCATATTTGGCTAAATGTATCTTTTTTGAAGAAAATTCAGACAGAGCCTTAAAACCAGATTTGCCAATGGGACAAAACAAATTATCTTGTTTTAAAAAGATTCAACAAATTTCCCCTTGGAATGAGGAAATAAAACAAAAATTGTGAAAAAATGAGACTGAATGGCTTTGTCTCATTGGTGAATCTTGTTTTAGGACAGTCAGAATGTACTCAAAAAAAAACCACTCAATTCATGCATTTATTACCTCATGTTATCATTTTTTTG